GGATGTTCGCTCTGATAGACCAACTGTTTCATCAGCATTGTCGATAGGGGCGGACCAGAAGAACTCATCACAACCATCAGCATTATCTTCGTTTACAATGGCTGTGAGTTCGGCTGTCTGATGTTCGGTTACACCTGTGACCTTATACACCTGATTTGGAGTTGTCCTTACCTTTTGGTATACAACAGCCTTTTCTTCAAGAATCGGGGACTTTTGTTGGGACAACCGAGCAAACTCCACAGAATTTTCTGAGATAAGATTTTTGTGGTTTTCGGGTTCGCTCTTGACAAACTCAGAACAGTCAACTTCATCCTCTACAGAAATTTCACTCATATCATCATCCTCATTAAGCTCAGATGCATTTTCAACATTAATTTTATTTTCTGAGCTCAAATTGGCATTCAATGAGTCAAACTTTTGTATGGTTTCGGTCCTTAGATTCAGTTTATCATTTTCATCCAAAAGGTTTTTCAGCATGTCCTTATGGTCCTTGGACTTTATGAAAGATTCGATTTTGTCTAGGCCATACATATAAGTCGGATTTACATCCTCAGATGAAACTACACTTTCGCAATTGTATGCTTCAGCGTCGATTTCATCTTCCTGAAACTCAAGGAAGGGCAAAATCATGCGATGAATTTTCTGTCCTATTTCGCAGTTAAGATGAAGTTGAGTAATGTTAGAATAAAGACGCTTAGCAATCAAACAAAACACATTTCTTTGTTTCAAAAGTTTTAAATTATCTCTTTGCAAATAAATGTTTTCGTCTTTGGATTTGATCAGCTCCGCCTCCTTCAGCTCTATCCACATCCTCCGTTCTTCACTCTTTGAAGACACCCTGCTTATTTGGTCAGTTAGGTTAGAATTGGTGACCCGTGTTTGAGTTAAACTGCTATCTAGATGAGAGATTCTTGAATTTACATTTTTTAATTCCTTTTCATATGAGTTTTGTGGGACTTTGAATGAAACAAAAATAGATTGTACCTTCTTGATTAATTCATCAAGCTCATTAAACTGCACGCTGAGAGGTTTTGCTGTGAAACACAAGTCCTCTCGCTCCTTCATGTCTCTATTCCCACTGTCTGTGTTGTATCCCCTCATTTGGGATACATCCGACACCATCAAGCACTTTCCACCGCTTCCTTCATCTTTCGCAACATAAGCCTTTCCATGAGATGGCTTCCTGACTTCATCATCCTCAGAGTCGGTTGACCAGACCTCCACGCCACCGAACTCATCATCCGCTACAGAACCCTGTACAATTAAAGCATTCATTGAAGGGTTAGTGATAGTTTTCTTTCTCTTTATCTCTTCCAGCTTTTTCATTAACATAGCTTCTTCATCTTTCTCCTCATCCTTTTCTGCCATTTTCTTTAGGACACAGTCTTTGGCATAGTGGTTCTTTCCTCCACAATAGTAGCAGTTCACTCCGAATCTCCTTCAGCTTTCGGTTCTTTCTTTGGTTCTTCTGTCTTTGGTTCTTCCCTGACCTTTTCAGAACTATAACTTCCCTGCCAATTACGGTTCTTATTGATAGGGAACCTTTTCTTGATGAACTTTTTCGGGTTTGACACCATCATTGCATAGTCTTCAGAGGTAAGGTCATGGTCTTCTAAGTTAAGATCTTCATCTTCCATCACGCCTTTGCTTTTGGACAGAAGTGCCAATGACCCCAAGCTCGAAACCACATTTTTCTCCTGCAAGACAATCTTTTCTTGGGATTTCAAAATCCCTACCAGCTTTGCTAATGAGTAAGATTTGAATTGCTCATGTGCTTTAACAGTGGACACAACTGCTCTCCACTCAGATCTAAGACCGTTTAAAAACGTAACCTTTTGTTCAATCAACTTCCTTTCAATATCGTGTTTAATCATCTTACTGAGAAGATGATTGAAGCGATCAAACGTCTGAGTGACAGTTTCTTCAGGATTCTGCTTAAATTCACCAAATTCAGACAAAAGTAAGGTTTGAATTGAATGCTCGAGATCTTCGTCTGTGGAATATAGCTCTCGCAGCCTATCCCATATTTCTTTAGCAGTGCTGCATGAACTCACCAGCCTGAAAGTGTCAGATTGAAGAGCAAATCTGATTAGTCTCAATGCTTTAATATTGCACTGAAATGTATCCTTTTCGTCTTGGGCAACATCTTTTACGTCTTTCAACAGATCATTATACTCTTTCTGAGTTTTAATGATTCTTGACGTTGCTGAATGAGCGAATGGTCCAGACACGATTGCTTCCCAAATAACATATCCATTGTCTTCATATCCAATGATATAATCTTCAAAGTGATGTGCCCAGACTTCGTAATCATGGGTGTAAAGGATAGGAATCTTTGTTGTTGACCCAATACTGTTTGAGATGTTGATAGGATTTGATTGAGAATCGTCCAAACTTGATCGTTTAACCTGTTTGAAAGATCAGACTTGTAATATATAATATTAGGGCAAAACGAATAAGTAATGAGATACGTCAATTATGGAGTGACGGCTCAATAAATATTAGTTAATGCGGAATAAGCCCTAATAGCTTCTTTCACAGAAGAGATGTGTATGAATTACACAGCCTCCTGCTCTGATACCAATTAATGAGATATAAAAACTCTTTGATCGATTAGATCTTTGTAACAGGTAGATAATGAAAGCAAAACAATGAAACAATACTCAAGAATGGATCTGAATAAGTCGAATGATTAGAACGTTCAATCCTCAGCAGAGCTCGATGAAGAACTTCCGCTGTCGAGGATTTTAGGGTTACAAAAGAGATCTTCTTAATTACACGTAAAAAACGATCTATTAGTTACCAAAAAGATGCATGCAAGCATCTATTAATACACAAACCCTAGTAAAACAAGATACGGATGGACAGACCCATGCCGTATACAAAATGGGCTAGGAAGCGAGCCCAAGACGCAACATCAAGTACCCAACACAATGCTTATAGGGAAATGGAGTTGATATGGAGAAATAGACTATTTGTGTGTCACTATTGATTTTATTTTAACTTATTACACATAATAAAAGTTTTAATTAAAATGCTAAAAATAATAAAAATAATTTCAAGATTTAATAAAAACTAGAAAAAATTTGGTTGTGCCTTTGTCGCTAGTTTGAATAATGTTTGGAAACATAAAACTAGAAATAGTTTTTTTCAACATGTGATTAAAAGTTATATAAATAGAATTTGTTTACCTTACAATTATTCATTTCATTCCATGAGAGAACGAAAAAAAAAAAACATTTACTAAGTAAAAAATGGAAAATTAACAAAATATGAAGAACGAAATGGTCTATTCCATTCCACCTGGTAATGGAATGAACAATTCCATTATTCCTTGATTCGATCATATCAAAAAAGACGGTCTACTTATGCATATATCATGATCTCTTATATGCAAAAGTTCACCACTACACGTGCACTCGTAGCTTCCCGACAAGGGGAAAATCATAGAAATAGAGGCCAAGATCATCATTTATCATGATCTCTTATATGCAAAAGTTCACCACTACACGTGCACTCGTAGCTTCCCGACAAGGGGAAAATCATAGAAATAGAGGCCAAGATCATCATTTACTTTAAATTAGCACATAGGGATGGCTTTCCCACCAACCAACATGATCGATATACTTATTCCGACCAATGTTCCACACGTGAGAACCCTTCACGGAATGAATTACAATAGGCTGACCGCTAACGGATTTGATGGCACCAACAGGGATTTAACACCTCCTGGCATGTACTTCTACCAATAGAATATTAATAAAAAATAATCACTTTTACTTATGCCTCGTGAGGCAGAGGGAAAACGTTTCGAAACACTTTTACTTACTTTTAATCTCTTACAATAATACATAGTAGAAGTACAACTTCAGAGTACAACTTCACGATATCAATAGAAAAATTGTTGATCGTTAGAAATTTTCCAAAAATCCACCAACTATCATATTTTAGAGCTTACAAAGTAGAGTTTCCGATATCCAAATTTCAAGGACATTTGAACAACATCAAATTTAATGAAGTTCGAACTTCGAATGCAAAAATTATAAATGTTCAAAGTTTGGTATTTTTTATATTTATCACCAAATAGCTAGTTGGAGTTAAAAAAAAAAAAAAAAAAAAAAAAAAAAAAACCTTCCCAGAAACCAAGTTTATAAAGTAATATATAAATAGATAGCTATTATAAAAAAAAAATTGTCTAAAACTTTAGGGATGAGCAAAAACCGAACCGAAAACCGAAAAACCGAAAAAAATCGATATAACCGAAACCGAAAAACCGAAACCAAAGCAATAACCGACAGTTTAGGTTTGAAATTTTATAAAAACCGAAAAATAACGGTTTGGTTCGGTTTTGACGTATAAAACCACCCATAAAACCGAACCGACCCACATATATATTATTTATATTATGATTTAAACTTTTATTTTTAGAGTTTAGACTTTATCTCTTTAATACTCTATGTTTATTTTCAACAACCTGTTAATGATGTTAAACTTTAATCTTTTGAACACTTTTATGCTTTTATAATACTAGAATTTGTAGTCTTTATTTTAGTATATTTAAAGTAGATACAATACTATTTATCGCAACGTCTTTTCATTAGGTTTGAACCCGAAAACTAGAAAAAAAAAATCAGGAGCTCGTAAACCCACGGTTTAAAACCGAAAACCCATAAACCCAACCCGGAAAACCGAAAAACCGACCCATGCAAAAACCGAACCTATATGGTTTTAAAAACCGAAAAACCAACTTTCTATGTTTTTGTTTGGTTTAACCAAAAACCGACCCAAACCGACGCATGCTCATCCCTACTAAACTTAAACATATTTTTGGTATGAAAAAGTTATACAGGTTAAAAATTGTAAAAAATCCATGATATTCTCGTATAACAATCTCCCAAAATCTCAGATTTTTGGAGCTGATATGCAAAAAACATGCCTACCAGACGGTTAGGGTTACAGTATCCCGACGACACTGATCGGTGTCCTGAACAATGAAGAAAATGTTGAAATCCCGCAAAGAAGACGCAGATGCTTCTTCTCCATTCAGTCGTTTACCAGACGAAATCTTCCATGAAATCATCAACAAAATAATCGATTTGAAAAGCCTCTGTTTTTGTTATCTCGTTTCCAGACGTTTCTCCTCGATTGTACTTCAAGTCGATGCCATCGCCTTCACTGGTGAGTCCTTTGCATCTGCCATCAATTTCTTTATCATGTTTAAAGGATTGAAGTACGTATGTATCGAACTTCCGTCTATTGATAATGGGTTTTTGTTCAAGTGGACGGTTAAGTTTGGTAGCAGCATCGAATCGCTTATATGTCTGTTGCCGGATTCAGTTTGTGATAAGGATGGAGTATATCTTTATGGAAATGGGGATGAAGAAGAAGACGACATTGGGTTAATACATGAATTTTGTGGCTTAAAACATCAGATTTCGAGTATGTGTCTTGAGGAGGCGATTCTGTGGCATATGATGTTGTTGTACTTGGTTAAGTATCTACCAATGTTGGAAGAGGTTTCCATTACTGATTCTGGAAAAAGAGGGAGGCTTTCTCTGAGTGGGAAAAAACTCATTGAGGTGAAGGAATGGGTACATTCAACTTCAGCTTCGGAAATTGAGAGGAATCGAATAGAGGATCCTGATATTGTGAGATACTGTTACATTCCCGTTTTGAAGCTGCCAGTTTCAGGGTACGTGATGAAGGGAGTAACTTTTTTTGTAATGGAGATGAAAGATCACCAGGGTGAGTATGATAGTTTTATGAATAGTGAAGATGGTGGTTTTGAAGATAAAGATGAGGCTGCATTATACACGGAAGCTGTGAAGGAAATTTTTGAGAAGATGAGGAGGTTACATACGTAAGGGCTCCAGTCCATACACTGAAATTTTGCATGCTAAGTTTTATATTTTTATTATTTTATATTAGTTTCTATGGGACATGTTTACTTAAAGATTAGACCATAATGATTGAATTCATATATATGGATTGATACATATACATTCTACTTACTATACAACTTTACCAATTAAACTTTACACTCCATTAAATTATATACAATTTAATGGATTCTCACATCATTTATCATTCTCTTTTTATTTATTGTTATTTTAAAAAAAAATTAATTAGCATGAAATTAAAAATTAAAAACTACAATTAAAATTAACATTAATTTAAAATAAAAAATAAAAATAATATATATATATATATATATATATATATATATATATATATATGTGTGTGTGTGTGTGTGTGTGTGTGTCTGTGTGAGGAGAGAGAATATAGAGTTCAATGGGGATTGAACTCCTCATTCCATTGAATCCTCGTCATTTTTCTACAATGGGGATTTTGGGTTTAATGAGATTAAACTCCTCGTTAAACCCTCCATTGAACTCCCATTGGAGATGGCCTTAGGGTTGAATCCCTCACCCTTAAACGTTTGCATATTTAGGATCTTCTCCTTTGCAATATAAAGTTAGAACTTGTTTTTTTTTTTTTTTTATGTTTTTCAAGATTAGTTTATGGGTTTTTTAGAAAGCTAAGACAAACATTTTATGGCTATTTTGATGGTGAGAGTATTTGTCTTTTTCAAAAAATAAGGAATTGAGAGCAAGTCCTTATCCTATATTGTTCTTTCTTTTCACACCAAATAAAAAGAATTGCAAATTTTGTCCAATTTAGATCGGTCCAATCTTGAGTGTAATGATGTCAAATGCAAAATAATAATAATAATAATAATAATAAATAAATAAATAAATAAATATATAAAATCTTCATTTGTTAGTGTTTTTTAAAGATATTGAACAAATGCAAATATATATATATATATATATATATATATATATATATATATATATATATATATATATATATATATATATATATATCTTGATTATAAGTGACTAAATTCATGTGGTCACAAATCAATGTTATAGAAAAAAAATTTAAAGGGAACTTTCCTAACGAGAATTTTCGGGTCCACTTTCGCGTACCGACTAATCCCCTACTGCAAACATGAGATTTTGTCTCATGTCCTGGAGTCACTGCAAGCGAACCTCCATGGCCACAAAGGCTGAGTGGTGTCAGGATTTGAACCTCCATGGCTACAAGGGCTGAGTGGTGTCAAGATTTGAACATGAGTCAATAGGTTATCCACCATATATTTCACATGTCTTACCAAATCACCACAACCCAAGTGGTTATGTTATAGAAACTTTTGAGATTTGTATATGTTTCATACTGTGAGCCATGTAGCATGAATTCTTCGAGAGTGTATGTTTTTGTTTAGAGGTATTCATTAGGAGTTTAATGACTAAAAAGAGGGAGATTTATAATATAGTGACTTTTATAAGTACGATTATGCAATCAAAAATGTATTTTGGGAGCTATAAGTAAATTTTTCAGTTTCGAGGAGAAACTTTTATATAAGAAAAGTTTAAAAGACCAAAAGTAAGAAATGTAAGTCCAAGGTTAATAGGAGCCTAGCCCGAAGTCATGTATACCCTTCTAGTACCGAACCATGCATATACCTAACCATATACATTGGGACAAGTATATGCCGAACTAAATATATACTGAACCAGGTATATTCCCGAATCATAGGAAATAACGAAAAAAGTAAAAAAGAAACGTCACAACAATAACATGGTACATGGGAACTCACAATAAACAGGTAGTATAAGGATATTTGACTGATGGGTCATCGGACCAACAACGGATAGCTGTTGAACGGCTAGATAATACAAACGAGTGTACCTTCGAGAGTACGACCATCAATACGATAAGATGGCTGACCTGCTCGGTATAGGAAGAGGTTGTTACCTCTTCATGGCGACTATAAATAGGGGATGAAGATCATCCCACGAGGTACGTAATCATAATCCCACTTTACAATCGATCTCTTTCTTAATACATTCACAATATATCGCATTTTCGACATTCCTTCACAAGGTCTTTTATGACTTTATCATCAAATCGTTAGCCCGAGATCCCCTCCCGGTCAATTATCCTATGAAATGTTTGTTTTCTCTAAGTTACTTGTATTGTGAAGGAATCAGCTATCTGCATACTAAATGGAAGCCAAAATCGGGGGCGCATCATGTGGCGCCATCCGTGGGACTCCACAACAAATAGCCAACGAAGAGAGCCCAGTTGTTGACACGAGTCCTATCACAAGAATGCAGAATATTGAGGGGATGCCATAGATTATGATGGTGATAAAAGCATAAACATAGCGATATAAGGACTAAAGGAAATGGATATGGAAGAGTCTGACGTCTTCAAAAACTTCAGAGCCATCAGGAAGCGACAGATAGAAAGAAACAGTCGGAAGACTCACAAGGAGAAAGAATGGGATTTAATCTCCATACATACTAGTTATACGAAAAGCGCAGATGAAACTGAGGCAAAAACAAAGAGAAGTGAGGGAAAGTCAAGCAAAAAAGAAAGATGCAAAAAGGAGGTAAGATTAGCCCTTTCACGCCATGAAAAAACGAAGAAGAGCCCTCAAAGAGATCGATAGATGACGCCAAAAGTAGTTAAACCCAAGTGATATAATCAAGCCTTCAAGAATTTAAACTTTGGGTCAGTGTTTGTGAATGAAATCAACGAAACACCCATCCCTAAAGGGGTGAAAGGACCTATAGTACTGGTGTACAGTGGAACAAGAGATCTAGACGACTATGTTTGAAACTTCCAATGGGCCATCAACATGATCCTGATAGACCCAAAGTTATAGAGTTTGTACTTTGAAGGAAATCTAGACTGATCCACTTGGTATTGGTTAGCAAGCCTACCTCCTAAGAGTATAGGAAGTTTTGAAGAATTATGCCAAAAGTTATGCAATACTTTCATCCAACAACAAAGGAGGTTCCAACAACAAGCACACATAATATTCACTTACCGACAAAGAGAATGAGAATTCAATAAAGCCTACTTCAAGAGGTTCAACAAAATCAGTCGAAAAATGCCGACAAGAGACAATCCTATGATCATAGCTTCTTTTACATGTGGACTCTTAGAAGGAGACTTGTTTTGAAACTTAGTAGGTAGAGATTGGATAAACACGAAACAAATGATACATAAAATTAATTGTTTCTTAAGTCAAGAAGCAGAAAGTGCAGAAAAAATGAGAATACAGGGAAAAGTGGCCATAAGGGGGGCGGGGGGGAGAACAGACCAAAAAACATCATGTACCATTCACCAATAACAACACTCGGTTCAATCAAAACCGAAGATTCACTCAGAAAGGAAGAAGTAGAACAAACGGCAGATATCAACCATATCCACAAGAAACACACGAAGCATACGTCTGTAGAGGCTAATGCCGACAAAAGCATAAAATAACCTCGAGATCCGAATAAGTATTGCGATTTTCATAAAAAGTTGGGTCGTGCAACAAAAGATTGTGAAAGTCTAATAAGCAAAAAAGGAAAGAGTCATATGTTCAAAAAGGGAGAAAAGTGGGTCCCAAAGAAGGAGGAGAGACGAATATATGATGCCGAGATTTCCATGATACAAGGAGGAAAAGCTAGTAGTAAAGTAACCAAGAAATGAAAGGTGGTCAACATCGAGTTCAAGCATCACAATCTGGTACCTTTTTATCACCATGACACTAAACCTCTGATAATCATAGGAGTAGTAGGAAGAACGTTGATACGAAGAATTTACATAGATAATGATAGCTCGATCAATGTCATTTATGAGCATTGCTTGAAGTACCTCTCAAGAGATGTCCAAAATTACGTGCAACCCACCACGTTAGCTGTGGTAGGGTTTGTGGGTCAATATGTATGGCCAGTGGGAAAAATATCATTATCGTTCACTCTGAATGATTATAGGGGATCGATGATGAAAACCATCCTAACAGAATATATTGTAATAAGGGCACCATTCCGTTAGAACATGTTGTTAGGAAGAATGGGTTTATGGAAGCTACAAGCGATACCATCGACAGTACATGGTTTGCTCAAATTTCCCTCTAAAGAAGGTATCATGATCGTTCATACCACAACAACAAGACCTCAAAAAATATTCATGTTGTACAAACTAGCATGGTTGAACCAATCATAGTGGAAGGAAGTGCATTGGTAAACACCAAAGAGGCCGTTATCAATGAAAGGCGCGAAGATCAAAAGATAAAAATAGGCACATAGTTTCCGAAAACATGCGTAAAGGGCTAATATCCCTATTAAGGAAGTATGCAAATGTATTCTTATAGAAACTTGAGGATATGATTGGGATTCCTAGAACATTGATAGAATATCGACTCAATATCAATCCTAACCATGGCCCCATAGTTTAGAATAAACGCATCATTGAGAGGGAAAGAAATGAGATAGTAAAAAAAGAACTAAGAGACTTGGTAGCAGTAGGTGTAACCCCCGCAAATTCGAGCTAGTCAATTTAGAGACAATAAGCGTCAATATTGAATTTTTGATAGAAATTATTAAGAGTAAATAATCTTAACCAAGTTATAGTATATGTCACAAAGGTTCCATACATATAAAGAACACCGAAATCTGAGTTATAACTAAAAAGCTATGACTCATCAAAGTTTTACGGCAAAACCGACACGACTCCGAGAATCGTAAAAAGTGAGTTTGCGATAAAATACTTTTTAGCCTTAGCGATCTAAAAAAAGTCGTAGTATACGTTAAACCGAGAGTGCATAAAAAGAATGTCCATATCTGACTTCGTATGAGGAGGTTATGATTTTTCTAAGATTTCGCATAGCAGTACACAACCCGGAATTCAAATTTTAGATCGATCAATGTTTAGCTGACACAATCTAAATGAGAATTGAATATCTCATTAATAAGAGCTCGACGACAAAAAGACAGACGAAACCGGACGTCGGATGACA